CCTCCGAAGTGAAATAAAAATGAACGTGGCATTTATGGCTTTGACCATTTTTATAGTGTTGGGCAATCAGCTTTTCAGAGGTAGCACTTTCTAAAATAACCCTCTTGTAGTTACACTGCTCTGAAAAGTTTCATTCACTATAATGTTCAAAATATCCCACCTTGTATTTTCAGCAAAAATAAGCTTGCGTGAGGCATCATTTGCATAAAATAAGCGTTATTTTCCTTGTTAATTTTGTGTGTTTTGACTGTATTCAAGCGAGTCTGCAACTGTATCTATTCGTGCCAATTTCAGAATTAATTAACTTGTACTGAAGCTCTTGTGTTAGACATGATGCTTGTGAAGGTCGCTTGAACGTGGAATTTCACTAAATACAAACAACGATGTGCCGTTTGAAATGTAGATGCAAAACATTTGTCTCTTGCGTAAAACAGAGGAGAAATTTCACTCTTAGGGTGTGGAATACCAACCTTCAGTGCAACTTGCCGTTTCTGTGACTTTACTTGCATCAGTTCAGGTTGCAGAATTTACTACCTCCCTGTCAGTCAGGTAGGAGCCCGTGAAATCTCATCACTTGAGTTTCAGTTGCTGAACCAGGTGCCCTCTCTGCCTGTTTTCTTTCTGTCTCAGACAGAACAGTCACATGAGAGGGCAGCTCATAAGAGATGGAACCATCACATTAACTTCTTTTCCTTCAGTAGATTCTAGTTTTTTCTTTTCAATACTCAAGTTCACTTACTGGCAGCTCCAGGCAAGCATGTGCAGCTGAACCCAGCGGTCCTGTGTAGTTAGCTCTTCCATGAGAGCAGAGTCACCAACTTGTTGGTGAATCTAGGGCTTATCTACATTTGGGATTTTTGCACTGATGTAATTCATCTGCCCATGCTTACCTAGTCACAAGGATGTAGCTGCCCCAAGTAGACCCCTTCCGTAGTCTCGTTTAGGCTAAGTCATACCAGTGCTAGCCCTATTCAACACTGGTGCAGTTTATCTACACTAGGAGTTTGCACGCATGTAACTTCACTAGTACAAAACTCCCTAAAGTAGGCAAGCCCTTACAGTTTGTTTTGTGGTGGTCTCCCTAGGCAACCACCCACAAATATCCTCCTTCCTGTGAGGATCTCCCCACAGCAAATTATCAGAGTATAAGACTATCTCAAAAAGTGTAGAATCTGGGCCTATTACCCTCTGCATGTTAGTGAATCTCAAGGCTGGATTTTCAAAAGTACTCTACATTGAGAATGATGCAGAGTGGTGAGCACAATTTGAAAATCTGACCATCTAGGTCTGCCTCTCTAGCATGTGGCAGAGTTTAGGACATCCGAGGCTGTGTTCATCCTCTTCAAGGGTGCAGAATGCAGATGTGGGACAAGAAGCCAGGTTCTCCCTACTTCGCCACAGGATTATGGTGTGAAAATCCTGAGTTTTATTTACTGCCATCTCCCTGGCTGACATGTAGAACCTAAAACCTGGGGTCCAGCTATGAGCTGGTGTAGAGAGATCACAGAAAAGAGAATGTCACTTAAAATGACTTTCTCCTTCATAGTCTGAAAGCCCTTGTTTGCTGCTGTATAACTTAATTTTTCCTAGTTTACTTCTTAAATTCATAGTGTTTTTAGTATATTAACTGATTATTATACGTGTGTGTCATTGTCTGTACAATGTAACTGCCTTGGTCATCCATGCTGTTAATAATTTAAATATATTTCTGCTCACTTTTGTTCCAAAAATGTGATAAAGAAACCTTTTATCTGTGTATTTATTTATTCTACTTTTCTTCCCAGGTCACCTAGTTACGTGGGATTTGCAAGAAAAGCTATTAGCAGTGAAAATCAAACGGAATCCATTGTAGTTTTAGATCCTGTTTCCACCAGTGAAGCACAAACCAAAGACCAGATGCCTGAAAAAATCATAAATCAACACAAGATGAAAGAAGAAAAAAATAAACAATTATATAAAGAAACTAGTGTTGATAAAGCAAAAGAGTCAGACAGCTCTAACTGCTAATTATTATGCTAAAAGGCTGAGACTTTTGGAAGTCCTTCTCAGTAAGTGTAAATTGCTTAAGTGAATTGGCAAGGGCTATATTCTGCACTCAGAACTATATTCAGTAATAGCTTACTGAAATGACCTATTGTATGCAGTTTTGGTATATGCATTAGTAGGTTACATAACTATATACAACTCAAAATCCCTTTTTGTTTTGGCCTCGTATGTGTATTTTCCTAGATAATCGGTTACTCACAATATTGTTTTTTAATTTTACCAAAAAAATCCCACTTTTTTTTTTTTTTTTTTTTAGTGTTAACAACTGACACTTTGTAAAGGCCAGTAAGGGACTGATCCAAAGACCACTGAAGTCAGCGGAAAGGCCCCCCCTCTGATTTCAGTGGGCTTTGGATCAGGCCCTAAGTAGGTAATCACAAAAAAGTACCTTTCCTCATTTAGACTGGGTAATATCAATAAAAATCAGTTTTAGAGACACTGCCTTAAAAATGTTTTGATACCTATTTAATACAGGGCTTCTACTGATCTCCTTCTCACTAACATCTCCACACAGGCTATTTTAAAGCACCAACGTGAAACGGTCTCTCCAGTAAACGGTTGACACGAGCAGGGAAAACAGGCAGTGCAGTTTGCCAGTTTGGTACCAGTTTTGGTAACTGTTTCTAAATTTAGAATGTTAACCTGATGCTTCCTTAGCCTTTGGGAATTGAAACTCTGTTAAGATCTGATCCCACTTCCATTGAAATCAATGGAAAGACTCCTATTGATTTCAGTGGAGTGAGGTCCTCAATATAGAGTGTGATAGGAAAATAATGAACAAGGCCCAATCCTGAAAAGCTGTGCCTATGTGGACATTGCCACTCACCCTTTACTAGATCACAGTGTGACAGTCTACTCCTGCACATCATTACACATGTAAATAATCCTTATGCATAGGAGTCCATTGTAGTCTGGCTTAATGAGCCAACTCATGGTCCTCAGCCAACTCCCGCTGAAGTAAATGTAAATCCTTTTGAGCTGAAGATGAAGGACGGGCCTGTGGTTAATGCACTGGGTTGGGACTCAGGAAATCTGGATTCTGTTCCCAGTTTACTGACACAGTTTACTATTTGTTGTGGAGCAAATCACTTAATTTTTCTGTGTGTCAGTTCCCCGTCTTGTTCTCCCAACTTTTGTCCATCTTGTCTGTTTAGATTGTAAGCTTTTCAGGGCACAGACAGCACCCAACACAGTGGAGATCTGAAGTTGGTTGGAGCCTCTAGGGGCTACTGTAATAAATAATAAATTTCACTGGACTCCTTTGAGTAAATGTATACAGGATTGGGGCTCTCTGTCAATCTTGCAATTGATCTGCACTCAGAACTCCCATTGACTTCAAGAGCAGGTCCAATATTACTAATACACAAACTTACAACGTGATCTTTGTAAGCCTTATACTGTGGTGGCATGAGTTGTGTTATCATGTGAGTACCACATTTTATCACAGCCCTTCTTTCCAATGAAGATAGAGCCATAGGTATATAACTTACTCTTCACTACCAATCCCCATTCCTTAGACGTTTTTAAAAATCAGCACAATATTTCACTCTACTTGTCTACTACATTGAACAAACAAAGGTAATCAGGGATTTATTTTTTAATTTAAACTGAAGATTGGTGTTACTGATGTTGAGTGGTAATATACTTGTATGCACTATTAGATTTTTTTTTTTTTAATGCCCATAAGAAACAGTGATAGTATTTTAACTATTGAAAAGGATGAATGTGTTCAGTTTGTTAGCTTGGCTTTGCATGGAGCTGTCTTGTGCTTCTCTTTTAGAAAGAAAATGATAGTCATGAATGTGGTAGTTGTGCCTTTTTTCATTTTTTTTTTTTGGCATGTTTGCTAAGCAAATCTTGGGGTTGATCTAATTAGTCAACTAAATGTATTTCCTAACTTTGGGGAAATTTGTCATTTTATTGTATATCTACATTTCTGTGGTTTTTTTTAGTAGTTGATTTTACACTTGGGTATCTGCTTACACTGAATTTAAAATGTAAAATTTTATAAATGTATTTTTCCTCAAATTATTACTACTGCTGTATATGTTAACCGCAAGCTGTCCTAAAACAGAAGTTTAAAAAAAAATACTTCTTTTATGTAAACTATTTCTGTTACACTGATATAAATTATCTTTTCACTGTTGCTTATTAAAAATCTTACTGACAGTTTCCCAGACACTGTGAAGTCTTGTTGTTGTTATTCCTTACTTGAAAATGGGGTAACCTCTTCTACCTGTGCAAAGTGCAGCTCTTTTTGTCTACACTTGGGGTTTACACTGATGTAACTGGCCATCAATTACTAGAATCAGGGCAAAATTCCTGATGTACACCAGGCTGACGAGAGGTGTTGAGGATGTGTTGTGTGATGAAATAGCATAACAGTCAAGTTTTTTTGTTTTCATAAAGTGTTTGCTTATTACTTGTCCATAGTTTGTTGTTATATATAAAGCTTAGGCATCATTTTAAAATCAATAGACAGTTATTGTTTAAAATAAATATAGTTATGCAGAGTTTAGAGAAAATAATGCTATTAAAACATTCAGTACTCCAAAATCTTGTTTTAGAGATGATGGGTAAGATTTTCAAAAACTTCTCACTACTGACCTAACTCTGTTTCTACTGAAGTCAGTGAGAGCAGAGATAGGTCAGTGTGGAGCTGTTTTTGAAAATCCCACACAAAGTATCTTCAGAGAAGTGTTATGGAATATCTAAAATAAGAAATGACGTACTCTGTAGGATTATTTTGTGTTACGAATTTACCCTGGCTAAAATATATACAAAGAAATATAAACACCTATTTTAGTAGTGCAGTGTCTTATAGCAGAATTATAGAGACAGGGTGAGTGAAGTAATAGCTTTTATTGTATCAACTTCTGTTGGTAAGAGAGACAAGCTTTTGAGCTTACGCAGAGCTGCTCTTGGTCTGGGAAAGGTGTCACAGCTAAATACAAGGTGGAGCAGATACATCAGAATTAGAGACTAATAAAACATCCGCAGGTACAAAAACTATCAAAATAGGATGAGTTTGAATGACAACAAAGTACCGGTAATCACTGAACTTCAGGCATTTAAAAATAGTTTATTGTAAGTTAGATGTAACAGGGTAGAATTAATGGCAATCAAACAAATCAAGTTTGATTCACAGAGAATTCACTAGAGCTCTCGCCTTATTGCATCTGCACGACGGGGAAACCCTTGCAACCATGTGGAAACTTAACTATGGTTCCATACAAGCACATGATTCCCTCTTCACAGATCTAATGGCATCATCAGAACCGAAAACTCCAAATTTAGGATCCAATCCTATGTGGTGCTGAGCACCTTCAACTCCTATTAACTTTAATGAGAGCTGAGGACGCTCAGCACCTTGATGGACTAGACCTTTGATATCACCTTAGTGCCAACAGTCATTAAGGAAATATGGATGGGTCCATCTTGGTAGCCTCGTTGAGATGCAGTGTACTCCCATGTAAGGAAACAGGATTTTGGTCCTGGGCCAGCAGAGGCTGAGAATGCTGTGAAGGCCATGGGTCCTGCTCTGTGGGAGGGAGTGCATCGAGAAGTTCTTCTGCTGTTTGTGCCTCTTCAGCAAAATCAACAAATTCATGGTTTTCTCCTGAACCTGCAATGGAAAAAAAGTTTCTTGATTGTTCTAAACAAATTTGCAGACACTACACTAGATTTAAAAAATATAATCCCAAATGATGCATGTATTATGTTTAATTTATGTAAGTACACAGTTTTAATATGAATGAAAACTCACTACCTCCGTTGGGTCTGATCTGCAACTGATAGAGCAGCTAGGCCAGATGGTTAAAGGTATTAAGGTGCCTACAGATGCTGATAGGTGCTTAATGGGATTTTCAAAAGTGGCAGGGCACCTAACTCCCAGATGCCTTGGCACTTTTGAAAATCCCACTAGACACCTATCTGCATCTTTAGGTGCCTAAATACCTTCAGCAATCTGGCCCTTAGAGTCTAATGGGGCTAAATACAGGTGTAGCAGTTCACCCGTACACTGTTGGTTGCAGGATCAGAACCTTGGTCTATAACAGCCTGAGTTGGTTAATCTTCAGGGCACAGTGATAGGTCTATCCCTTCTCCCTGACCTATGTGGAGATGGGAGTAGTTAGAGGTGGATGTGGATTTTGCTACTGGGGTTTATTACTGCTAGAGCAGTGTTATCTGCAGGAAACTGCTGAAGTTTATGAGGTGTATTTTTAAACATTTGTCAATGCTTGGTATCTTTTGTTTAGTGTACTAAAGTACTGCGTACTAAAATACTGATGAGCCAGTTAAGTTCATACCGCTGTAGTTATCTGTCCCATCACTTGAAATGCACATAAGAAAGGTTGTGCTGCACATGCATGTTCAGCTAAGTCCCTTTCCTAGTAAAAGGGACATGGTGAACTTATATTTGGGCTATTATATTACTATATTTCTGTTAGTTGTTACAGTTTTTACATATGTGTAAAGTAAACTGATTTCATTGATTTTTTTTTTTCATAGTCCCAGCCAAGACCAATGCAAAACATAGTGGTGGTAGGGAAAGTAAGTAGTATATATTTTTTTTAATAATCTGAAGTGTTGTTAATAATAGGTAAACATTTTATTTACCTCCAAAAAAATAAATTGGCTGTGTTCCTTTAGCTGCCTCACCCTCTGAACTGAACATAAGGAAGGCTATTACACTTGTAAAGAACATGTCGAGTACATGGTTGCTGTCAGTTATACATATCTTAGACTAAGAAAAATCTAGAGTTAGTGTAAGTATAAAAGAATGAAAATATGTCACTTGCTACACATGTGAATATAAAGTTGTGTGAAAAAAAATTGAGATATTAGTCAAGAAATAATACGCTATCAAAGGGTTAAAGATGTTGGGCTTTTATTCTCTCACTTACACAGGTAAAAATCAGGAGTGACTCCACTGAAGTTAGTGAAGTTATACCAGCATAAAACCAGTGTGCGAGAAGATGCAGGCCATGTCATGCATCCTGGTACCTATAAGGAGCACAGCTAAGGTTGCACATGCATCCTTAACATTAGCATTTCCTGACTTTTGAGTGCTTATTCATGCAACCTGAACTATTTCAACACCATTTTTGTAAAGAATATTACTGTGAAATGGGTTGTAAACTGAAGCTTTGGTTGCGACACATCTGCTTTTGGCTAAAATTTTCTGTGAAGAGAAACCTTAATTTAATTTAATTTTTATCTTATTTTTGCCAACATGGGCTTGAAGATTCTAACCAATTAATTCTGCTGAAAAATGTGATGTAGGCTACTCCTCAAGAAGGGGACTATTTTAACATTCAGGTAAACAGATAATCCATTAGGACAACAATATACGTTGTGGCAAGTGCCATCCTAGTTTTTTGTCATTGCTTATTTATAGTCTTTTCATTCCTTTTCCCTCCCGTGGAGCAGTTTCAATCATTCCTCCTGCAATCTTTGTTCTCTTATTCATTGCAAGCTGAAAACAAGTAAGAAAGAAGCTCATACGCAGTGTTCCATTCTTGGCCAGTTCTTCCTCTATAGCAAGAAGGCGGTTGTATTTGGTCACCCTTTCTCCACGGGAAAGACCTCCCAACTTGATAAACCTGGCACCCAGGCCAACAGCCTTAGGACAAAAAAGTGCATATTTTAAAATTCCACGGTTTAGCAATGAAGTCACTTTCTTCCTAGTTATTTAACTTGGTGTCCTAAAGTAAACCCTACTCACAATAATACTTCTCATCTCTCTATGTAGGAATAAAACCTTCCTTTAATTAAAGATGTAGTTGGAGTTGCACACTAATCACTGTCATAAGAAATGAAATTTTATTTGCAAATGCAATGTCAATACAAAGAGATTATCAGAGCTAAGATGTACTATGCAAGATTGTTGTTACTACTCAGGTATAATTTCAGTAATTCATTTACATTTTTACAAACTAATGCAAGCAAATAGATAATACACACTTTTAAGTATGTTCTCTTTATCCTGCTTTGGCAATTTTTTTGCTTTAAAAAAAAAAAAAAGTTCAAAGATTAACTCTCTGTAAAAGGTGACTTTCTAAGAAAAAAAACCTTTTAATAGATTATATGCCTTTCTCAAACACAGACAGCCTTTCTCCTAAATACCAGTTCATGATAAAAGCAATGGTTTAGCAATTCTGCAACTGAACCGCTTTCAATACATACCAGATCTACAAGGCTATCATCAGAAGATTCTCCAGCTGGACTTCCTAATATGGCAATATGTCTTTGACCTATATAATAAGAGTTTTTAGCCTTCATTAGTAAATATTTTATATATTTCACAAAAATATAGATTTCACTTTTTATACATTAAGTCCTTTGGCTTAAATACAAATAGGTTAAATACAAATAGGGGAAAGATGGAGTAAATGTTCTCCTGATAGAAAAGTACACATTAATATCAGTTTAATTGTTGCAATATAATACCTGTCTGAATTTTTATTATTTCTTCTTTTACCTTGTTAAATCTACACCTCTACCCTGATATAAGGCTGTCCTCGGGAGCCAAAAAATCTTACCACATTATAGGTGAAATCGCGTTATATTGATCTTGCTTTGATCCACCGGAGTGCGCAGCCCCCCGCCCCCCGCCCCGGAGCACTGCTTTACCACGTTATATCCGAATTCGTGTTATATCAGGTCGCGTTATATTGGGGTAGAGGTGTATTTCCTTTCAGCCTGGCTAAGGTGACACCTAACATCTGTGCTCTAATTCTTATAACTACTACAGGCTAAGTTGATCATTCTGGCAATGTATTCCAGATGGTAGAATGGGGTTCTAGGTACTGTATTCTAATTCTAAATGTATTCTCTAGCATAGCAGAAGTGATTCCTCTTCACTATGAAAAGCAGCCCTCCCACCTGGTGTGATTTAAATCCTAAAGCTCACTATTCATTGATTTTTGACATGGTGGTTTTTCATTTTGTTTTATTTTAGGGAGGAGGGGAACAGTTAGATATATAAAAATGCATCCATCATAAAGTCTCTGGGAACATATAAAGAACAAAACAAGATATTGACAAACGTAACCCCCCCACAAGTATTACGTCCAGTAACGACCAAGGGTCAATAACAGAGAATCATTAATTTATCTGTCTAGACTACATTTGTGGACCAATCTGGTTTTGTTTGTTTGTTACAGGCAACATTTCAGCTTCCTCCAGTTCAGCTTTTGTTTGTTTGTTTGTTTTTCAGTTCTGGTGTCCGAATATATAAAGTTTAGCCATATCTTGAAAATACATACACATTCAAGACATCACAGTATCATTTGAAGCACTGGAACATATTATAAGGATTCCTTAAATATTTTCAGAATATATGAACTCCTAAATATATTTGGCAATCAAGCCATGAGTTTTAATTTCTTTTAATAAGCACATCCTAAACTGTCAACTGCTGTATTTAAATGTGAAATATTACATATTTATAGATTGCATAAGTGTAGCTGTCTTATGTATTCATTATAGGGTTTTGAAATTCAGACTTTTCCACTACTCACCATCTAGAAGTCGGGTAAGTTCTGTGAGGTCAGATATCTTGGTTTGATTTGTATATTTTATTATAAGACCACTGCATTTTGGTACGTTTATATTTTGATCCTCCACAAGTTTAGAAATACTTTTGGCTGCATCTTCTGCAATCAAATAACATCTGGAACCAACAGTATTACATATATTGCTCCATTGCTGGCCATCCTGGGTAAACAGTAAAGTAAATGATTAGTTGTTTAAAGGACAAATTTAGGAAAACAATCAAAAAAAATGTTGAGGGGTGAAAATAAGGTGGGGAGGGGGGGCATAGGGAACACCAAGCGTGAAATCGTTACCTCACTAAAGTTGATGGCAAAACAGCCATTGACTTCAGTGGGACCAGAATTTTGCCCCAGGGCTATCATTCACACAGAGAAATTATTTTTATTAGAAGACACAAATCAAATATATCACTGGCATTTTGTTTGGCTGTAGGGATTTTGCTAAAGGCAAGAAGAGAGCTAGTCACAGGTAAAAAGCATCAGCTAATATATTACTGCAAAATGAATTGAATGTAGGAGTCTGCTACCCAGATTACTCTCCTGCAGACTTGGTTAAAAGAAAACTAATGGAATATAAAAAGCAACAGAGGGTCCTGTGGCACCTTTAAGACTAACAGAAGTATTGGGAGCATAAGCTTTCGTGGGTAAGAA